AGCCTGAACTTCAAGGAACACGGCTGAATGTTCTTTTTCGGTTGTCATCAGCGAACCGTGCGAGCCGGTTAAAGAGCGATTCGGGGCATGTTGTTTGTTTGAAATGAATGTAACAGCCTTCATAGGCTCTTAACCGAGCAAACAAGTAAGACTGCGTCTTATGAGCATCGAATACTCGCCTTGTTTAGTCTTTGAAAGGTGTTTCATGATTCATGCGCTCAGATACAGAAGTTTCAATCGATTCCAACAACAAAATGGTGCTAAAACAAACAAACAAAAGAAAATATGTAGCACATCTTTGCTGTTAGTCTGTGTGTTCATTATAACCAAACATCCATCTAATGCAAGATCAAATTAGTGAACTGCACTTTTTTTTAATTCCACAGGGAGAAAAAGGGCTGTTTTGTAAAATTTAGGCGATGTAACATCCTGTATCACTGCAGAGATCAATGCTGTGGAACCTCTACTATACGCAGCTTTACAATAAACACCATTAAACTTTAAAGCAGTGTGAACTTCCAGGAGCACATCTCAGTGTTTCTTTTTATTATTATTTTTTTTTGTGTGGTTGTCCTCGCCACTATAAAACCGTGCGAGCGCATAAGCCAGTTAAAGAATGATTCGGGTGTATTACAACCTAGATTAGATTTCCTCGCATTTAACGGCATCATCATTTTTACTGATTATGATAACGCCGTGCTAACCAAGGTGATTACCAGCTCCCGGGAATGCAGTGACACGTATAAAATAAAGATGCATCCGATGTTTCCCGTGAGCAGACGTGCACTCCCACGCAGCGGAGCGACCGTACGCCGCAGCCGCTCTCGGGCTCCGTCTCCTTTCCACGGATGCTCCCACAACACCTCAGCCGGCTATTTTCAAACCCAAATCTCGGCGCTGCATTGTGGCAGCAGCCCCGACTCCCAGAAAATCATCATGCGTGCTCCAACAGTCACCCTCATCTCCTTAACCGATTTATTTTCCATGGGCCTGTTGTGCGTAATTAAGTGAGATCACATGATTAGAGAAGCTGCGCTCACCTGTTCTGGTGGAAAGAGCAACGCTGAACGGTTCAGCTTTCGCCATCGTCCTCTCTTTAACACGTGCGATCATACATTTCGCGACCTCGTACATACGGCGGTCGTTTGCAGGCTGCTTTAAATTACAGCAGACCTGCACTGTACCGCCGCCTCGTAAATTCCCCTCCAGCAACTCCGCGGGAGGTCAAAGTTGACATCCATGCCATGCATCTCGACAAGTCGGCTGCCAAAACAAGAAAGACGTGATTAATGGATGTTTTTCCACCCTCATAGCATCTCTCCCTCAAACAGAGTAATGACCCTTTTCAAAGATGCGAGCCGGAGCCACAGCTCATCATATTTTCAGGAGTGTTCAAATAACAGAGTGCTTCAACCCTTTACCAATTAATCAGTTAACTAAAGCCAGTGCAGTTAGGGAAACAGTTTCTGTTAAAACACATTAGAAGTTCTGCACCGACGGAAGAAAAAAAAAGAAAAGCTTTTTAATGCACCACTGGCCTGTAGAAATGGTGGAAATTGTTGATCTTTACGAGGATTTTCCACTTCACGCGCCTCGGTTGGAAGGTAAATACCAGCAGTTTGGTTTTCTTTGGGTCTCCTGATGCAACAAGTTTGTCACAAGCTTTGTAAGGAAATCGGCACTTTAGATTAAAAATGGCACAATGGCCAGAAGAGTGTGAAGCTTTAAGTTCAATTACATCCAGCTTAGTTGAACATTTCAGGCGAGTGTGTCTGCAGGATGCTATAGTTTCTGTGTTAACTGTGCATGAAACCACCTTCAGAGACGCCTGGTGAAGCGCACACCTGGAAATGTGTCTTTTGAGCATCAAGTACTTATTCTCTGCCGTCTTAAAAGGGTTTGTAGTGCGCTCCTTCATGAAGGATGACTCCTGTACAGAAGTTACAAAGGAGTCGAACATTAAACAAGTGTAAAAACAAAAACTTATGAGGCATACTCCACTTTTTTGCTGTTAGTCTGTGCATTCGTTATACGGAAACAGCCACGTTTTTGCCAGTAAATTGCGAAATATGCAACCTTTAGCGGAGCCGTGGAGCGGTAGGTAATAGTGAACATGTTAGTTTGGTATTTACCTGTTCTGGAGGGAACTTATTAACATGTTTAATGGTACAGAATCTATGGAAATACATTTTTTCTTTTGCACTGACTGTGTCTCTTGCCTTCACTCCATGTACAAGTACAGTCGCTGTCTTTCGCAAAAGGGTGCAAAAAACTAACTTTTCACAAAGAGATAGGTCTTCTTTGAGTTTCCCTTTAAAGCTGGGGTAGTAGTATTTTTGAGGGGCATTACTGAGCAAAAAAAATCCATTATAACCCTCGGCGTATCTTGATATGAACCTCGACCGCAGCACCACCTTTTACATCTTTTAGCTTTAGCTGTTGACAGGAGATATTAACCAATCACAGGTGAGGGTTTCGCTCCTGTTGGCTGTGAATGCAATTGTATGTGTACGTTCCTTCAGATGTTGGAAAGCCTGATCCAGTGGCAGAAAATCCTGCAGGAAAGGTTCGCTATTTCAGATTTGGCAGGACCCATCTGCACTACAATAACCCCCCCCAATAAAACAACCCCTAAAACAAGAACAAAACTTTATTGTTTGTACTGTGAAAGCACAGTTAATGTTCCTGTCATTGGAAAAAAAAAGTTGTTCTGATTTGGAATGTATTCACTACTTGTAGGACTTGTTGGTGAGCTTCTGTTGTGCTGACCTACTGGATGCTAACTAGTGGGGACCAACAAACTGGTAACCATAATTCGTATCGCATGGGGAGCTCATGATTTAGAAACGAACCCCCGACATCTGTGTTTTGTGTGGCGGGATAAACAAACTTTGTGTTTTAGTCTCATTTACTGATATAATGTGCAGATATGATATTAAAACTCTGCACTGCATGATGCCATAAAGGTCATCCGTCTAATCATCCTCTGAGATTTTGCTCTTCTAATGGATTTGCTCTTTCTTTGAATACGTCTCTATACGGCACAGCGACACGAGCATCCTGAATTAGCACCCAAAAATACCATCTGAACCCTCACGTATAATTGCAGAGAGGCAAGAAGAAAAACTAAAAACCCTTAACAAAATGAATTAAAAAACGAGCCCACATCACAGCGATTAATGCTATCAATGGACGTCTGTGTTCGGCAAAATGTGGTGGGTCATCGCGATAGAGTTTTTACTTTACAAATTCTAAACATGGCAGATTCACGCTGGATTAGGATCCTGGACGGCCTCTGCAGTTATTACAAATTAAAGTCGGCTCCCAGATAATATTATTAAAGGAACAATAAATGCAGTAAAACACATAGAAAAAGTGTATGCATGCATACTGTTGAGCTGCAAACTTTCCTGTAACATCTAAATGTGTTGCAGTGGTTGGTAAGATTGTGTAGGCAGATTTACCTGCAAGCTGGAGATGAGTAACTGTGCTGAATGTTGCTAATAGTTTTGCTAACCTGTGGCTAATCCCGCTCATATTTATGCTCCAGCTTGTGTTGCATACGAATGCTCTCCCACTTCTGCCCAGATTCTGCCTCCCACAGCTTTAATGCTTCTACACAGCCTCAGTCGCTCATTCATTTCGGATGCATTGTGCTAGCGGATGGTGCCAACGCAACTGAGCACGTCACTGTCCAAATGCTAAGAGGCTCGCGCGCGCAGCAAATTTAAAATTTAGATGCTGAATATTACAGAATCAGTTCAGAGACTGGAAAAGAATGGAGTGCACTCGGCTCCCAGTGGTTCCGGCGAGGAAACGGCTCAGGATTGTACTGGGAAACTTTGGACTGTAAAATGTGTGCAGCGTGCTGCATGCTCAGCAAGTCTCCTCTGAATAAATAAAAATAAAATAAACACACTGACAGGGATTTAACGCTAAAACATATGTGCATATTCTCCCCCCTTCCATGCATTTGGCCACCGGATGCAATTTGTCGACCTGCGCAACCCGCCGACTGCTTAGTAGTTAAGCTGGGAATAACCTGCGCTTTGTGATGGGTTGTTAGCTTGCACTCCAAGGCCATTAATATTTTATATGACAGCTTGGTTGAGAGTCGAACTCACCGGGAGACACAACTACTGGGACTTTGCAAACTAATGAGCGGCCAGAGGAGCTGAGCGTTATCATGGCTGTATTGACTGCGAGGCCGCTGGAGGAAGAAAAAAAACACACACACACACACACACACACACATGATGATGGATTGGGAAATAATGCGGTCAAAACAAAAAAAAAAGACGGCTGTGAAAGGGGGCTTTCCGCTGAGGTGGCTCATTACCGGGGAAGTCAGTGGGAGCATGGGCACTGAGGGAGGCAGAGATGGACAAAGTTGAGGAAGAATGGATGGAAGACGAGGGAGAGGGAGCTGAACGGAGGGAGGGGAAGAGACAGATGGAGTAGGGGGGTGATGGCAGCGCTGAGAGTGGCAGGCTCAAGGCGAGGGAGGGAGGCAGGTGAGAGAGGGATCGCCCCAGATGTAGGGAGGGAGCATCAGCGAGATGGATAGATGGATGAAGAGGAAGGAGCAGTAATTACAGGCCTTGTTGTGCGGTTGGAGAGATGGAGGAGCCGCTTTCTCAGTGCTGCCACTCTGCATTAACCCGGCAGAATGAAATATTCAGCCATTAGGCCTTGGCTGAAACACATCCGCGGCCCGGCCTCATGCAACATTTAAACACCATTCATGTTCTATTCATTACAAGGAGGCCTATTACATATAATCATCATTTTGGTTTGGTTTGTTCTTCAAGACGCACATTTTTATTTTGTTGTCCGTAAATGCAACGCTGCGTCTGGAGGTGAGAGCGGCGAGTCAATACCGACTCCAATTAGGCCCCGAAATCATTTGTAAACATTGCCTGGGATTTGATTTTCTCAAACCACACAGAAGGATGAAACGCTTTTCTGCCTCCCCGTTTGTGTCTCCTTTTTCCGTCTAGAGTCGGAAGTAACGACGGTGAACCGCTGCCTGGATGCTGCCAAGGCGTGCAACATAGATGAGACGTGTCAGAAGCTTCGTACGGAGTACGTCTCGGCCTGCATCCAGCCGTCGGCCCGCTCGGGGCCATGTAACCGACCGAAGTGCAACAAGGCGCTGAGGAAGTTCTTCGACCGTGTTCCCCCCGACTACACCCATGAGCTGCTGTTTTGTCCCTGCACCGACACGGCCTGCGCAGAGCGCCGCAGGCAAACCATCGTCCCGTCCTGCTCCTACGAAGACAAAGAGAAGCCCAACTGCCTGGCTCAGCTGCGGATCTGCAAGGCGGACTACGTGTGCAGGTAGAATTTAGAAATGTTGTCTGACACGCTGCCTGCTGCACAGAACATTTTTACACTCTGTTTCTTAAGCTGCACGTCTCAGTTAACCGATAATTTGGACCTTCTGTTACAGGTTCACACAGGTCTTTTTTTAGACGTCACTGCGAATCATGTGCGCTTTACATTAACGCCGAAGCATCTTCAAAGCACCATTAGACGCTGTTTTTGGGAAACAGCTGCTCCAATACAGCAAACACTGATTGATTCGGAGAGTCCTGGTGCATTGAAGTGCTGCTCAGAAGCTCTGATGTCCAAGACGTGAAGCTGAGTTAGATGTTTTTTGACAGTCAGAGACAGAAAGTAAACTCCCACATAAACGGAGAAACAAGCTTTGATGCACTGTATCAGCGCATCCAGTCCTTTTGTTTAACTTGTTAGCGGATGCTTGCCCGAGGTTACCGACACCATCCAGGATCTTGTTTGATCTGCGAGCTCTCGAGAAAAACTGTCCGGGCCTCTTTGTCTTGTCGTATGTTTTTACCGGCCACTTTTTTTTTTTCTTTTTTTACTTTGACTTTCGGCTGTTTCGCGCTGTAAAAATCAAAATCACATTAATTCTAAATGGTGCTGGAGCTGCTGAACGGCATTAGAGTCACGCAGGAAGTCAGGACGGGCATGAGAGGAATAATGTGAGCGGTAGTTTCTTACATTAAAGCTGCAGTAATTGATGTTTGGCCACTAGCTGTCAAACAAACAGCCGTGGCAGTCCTTATAAAGTGGCCGGCTAATGTGTTAGCAAACAGGCCCGGCTTACACGTCCAGCAGACGTAGAGCCGTCGCCGTTAATTCGAGTAGTGCTTCTGTCCAGCTGGTGACTTTAAGTCCAGCTCTTCTTTTAGCTTCTGAAAGAAATATATCGACAAATTAGCGGTAAAAACAACATGAGCTGTCTTTGTTAGGTGTTGAGCTTCTAAATGCCTCCAGAGAAGCTTCGATGCACGTTTGCAAGTCTTTTCTTCTGGAGAGATGGAACGATATTCCTCAAGAAATTATTCCCTCATCTGGTGATATGATGACTGTCTAAACCAGGGGTGTCCAATCCTGGTCCTCGAGGGCCACAATCCTGCATGTTTTAGATGTTTCCCTTCTTCCAGCACATCTGATTCAAATGATCAGGATCGTTATCAGGCTTCTGCAGAGCTTGATGATGAGCTGATCATTTGAATCATTTGAGG